GGGGGGTGGGGTGTTGTGGTGGGGCTGGGGGGTGATGGAGGATGGGGGTGTCAGACAGCAGAGCTGCAGAAGAAAGGGTGGTTTGATTACTGTCGCAGAGATGTATTTGGTCCGAGACACAAAGAAATGCAGAACTCCCGACCTCGTGGCTCAGAGACGATACCATTTTTTAGACCAATTAAGAAATCGTAAACCCCCCCCCCCAAAAAAACCCATCTTTTTCTGCAAACTTTCAGGCTCACGCACCCTTCCTTAGGCTCGGGGGAAATTAAAGCTGGCAAGAAGTGTATATTTACACGTGGGGACCTTTTACCATCTTTACTTTTCCTCAGAACTCCCGACCTCGTGGCTCAGAGACGATACCATTTTTTAGACCAATTAAGAAATCGTAAACCCCCCCCCCCAAAAAAACCCATCTTTTTCTGCAAACTTTCAGGCTCACGCACCCTTCCTTAGGCTCGGGGGAAATTAAAGCTGGCAAGAAGTGTATATTTACACGTGGGGACCTTTTACCATCTTTACTTTTCCTTGAGCCTGAGGAAGCGCTCGTGAGCCCGAAACCTTGCACAAAAAGATGGTTTTGTTGTTGTTGTTGCAGTTTCTTAGCTGGTTTAATACAGGGTATCATCTGTGGGCCAAAAATGGCATTTCTAGTCCCATTAGCGGGGCACGAGGAGCCGTGCACACGTGCAGTGGGGAGAGATTAGCAGGAATTGGGGATAAATCAGGGATCCTGGTTTTCTCCGATTTAACGCCCCCCCAAGTTTTCGGTTAAAAAAAAGTAACCCCAAATCCACATTTTTTCCATGATTTAAATGAAACACCACTAATCTAAATATGCATAAATAGCAGTGTTTTGTTTTAATCACAGAAAAATGTGAATTTATGGTTAGGGTTTTTTTACGGAAAATTGAGGGGGGGAGGGGGTTTAATCCGTGGAAATGAGGATCCCTGAAATGAGCTACGAAGCTACCAAGCAGGGGACTCGAACCCAACTCTCTGAACACCCCCGCCCATGGCCGGGGGTGACTGGCCCTTTAATGCCCTGTCCTCCCCTTGGCGCCGGCAGGCCAATCAGAGAGGCTGTTACTTTCAGATGTGCCATGCTGACTGTTTCTCTGTCCTCGGCAGCGATTGGTGTTTTCATACCCCCCCCTTCCCTTTGGCGGCCAGAGAACCTATCAGAGAAGCCGTTACTCTCAGAAGTTCCCTGCCAGTGCTTCCCAGTCCTCAGCTACGATTGGCTCTTTCATGCCCCCTCCCCTTGGCGCCGGCAGACCAATCAGAGAGGCCGTTAATATCCGAAGGGCCATGCCGGGTGCATCCCTGTCCTCAGCGGCAATTGGCCCTTTCATTCCTCCCTCCCCCAAGCGGCGGCAGACTAATTAGAGACGCCGTTACTATCAGAAGTGCCATGCCGGGTTCATCCCTGTCCTCAGCAGCGATTGGCCCTTCATGCCTCCCTCCCCCAAGCGGCGACGGACCAATTAGAGACGCCGTTACTATCAGAAGTGCCATGCCGGGTTCATCCCTGTCCTCAGCAGCGATTGGCCCTTCATGCCTCCCTCCCCCAAGCGGCGACGGACCAATTAGAGACGCCGTTACTATCAGAAGTGCTATGCCGGGTTCATCCCTGTCCTCAGCAGCGATTGGCCCTTCATGCCTCCCTCCCCCAAGCGGCGACGGACCAATTAGAGACGCCGTTACTATCAGAAGTGC